TTTACACATACCACCAACAAGCACAACAAGTAGAGGTCAGTATGTGTGAAGTGCAGAAACCACTGTAAATACCGAGGGTTTCTGGACCTCGGAAAAAGCGTTTGGAGACATAAGACTGTGGACGAATAGATGGCAAGAAGGCTGGGCTGGATCATGGGGGGGGGGGGTGACCATATATATATATATATACATACGCGTACGCACGCATGCATGCATGCACGTATGTATGTATGTATGTATGCATGTATGTATGTATGTATGTATGTACGTATGTCTGTATGTCTGTATGTCTGTCTGTATGTATGTATGTATGTATGTACGTATGTAGTGTATACATATCTATGGCTAGATGGATAGATAGATAGATAGATAGATTGTTATTAGTCATTGTGAGTTGTAACAGTAGTCGCCATCGGAGCAGCAGCCGTAGCTACCCTGCACCCTAATTTGACCCTCCCAACTTCCCAACCCCTGACCCCCGCCCAAAATCGCATGGACCTTGCTGCAAGTAAACCCTTCAGCCCTTTCGCTCTCGGCGCCCCCCCTTCTGCCCTGTATAGGTAATCTATACCCAAAATCGGCCCAAACCTCGCATTTTGGGGTTCCAGCACATGTAGGAACCCTATTCCAGACCCTGTCATTGGCAGGGGGCACTTGGTTGTCTGGTTCAGGGTTTTTCCATTTATTAAGGGATGGAAGACCGCTTGAGGCTTCCTGAAAATGCAGAGTGACAGATTTCGCATCGGGGGCCCGGCCCACTCGGTGTCTTCGCTGTGACAGTGCACGGCATTGCACTGACATGACCCCATGTCTGCTGAGGAAGGCTCCGACCGAGGTTGACTAATCCGTTTGGCCCGGAATCAGAACACTCAGCCCTAATTTTTAAACTCACTGGCCCAGGCCTGGGCCCCAGCCCTAAACTTTACGGGACCTAAACCCCTAAGCCCGAACTCTAGGCTGTAAACCCCTCAGCCCTAGAGATCAGGATCTAGGGTTTGTGGATTGCAGCATCTTTGTGTGCGTGTGAAGTGCGTAGCCATGTGCGAGTCCGTAAGAAAAGCCACGTGTTTGAACTCAGGACGTCGCTGCAGGAACTCTCGGTTCACGAGGTTGCTGGAGAAAACTAGTGACGGTATGGCTGCTTAGACCTTGAGGTTGAGGTTTCTTTTGCTTACGTAATTATTGAAGGCTCTTAGGATGGGGATGCGGGGGTTGTTGTAGATGAGGAGACCTTTACATGGCAAGGCAAAGACAACAGGGTCCACCCGTCGGACTCGTAACTTTGACTCCACGGCAACAAACCCTGTAAAAACGTTTTTGTAGCAATTCAGCCTTACACCCCAAGTCCAAATTTGAACCCAAAGTAGAGCCCACTCCACCTCAAGCCCTGAAACCCAAACCCAGACTCTCCCAAATGCTACAGGCCTCGAGCCCTGCAGCGTAATCCCGACGTGAACCTCTGGTCCTACACCTTCAAGCTGGAAGAAACTCCTGCACCCCGCACCCTAAGCCCGAAAACCTAAACCCAAGACCCTCAGATGCCCTAAGCGCTGACGCTTGGGCCTTTAAACACAGGCCAAACAGTCAACCCGAAACCTAGACCCTGAGCCCCAAATCCTGAAATTGCTGGACTCCGTGTTGTCTGAGCCTCCCATTGATTGTATTTCCATAGTGGGATGGATGCTAATGGAGAGGTTGGTTTGGTTCGTTCAGGGGCCTGTTTCCTTGCGTCTGATGCTGCTGGCGGGGTTGGGCCTCATGGGGTCGAGGTTGAATAGCGACAATGGCAAGCGCCTTAGGTCTTTCATTGATTAGCATTACTTGTGGGCAGTTCATATTTTCCATGAGGCAGCCAGGGGCGGAGGTAGCCGTGTCGGTCTGTCCATAGGCACTCTGGAGAATGTCATAAAACAACAGCGCAGAAACAGCCACAGTAAGCCTAAGCTGCTGCAAGCCTCAATTGAGATTCCCAGAACTTCAAATTATCCCTGAATTACGAATTAAGGGAAACCTGAAGGTCTGGGTTGTTTCAAGGCAGCGGCTCCGGCAGCCTTAGCGCCGTCCGGTCTTCCAGGCAGACTGCAGCTCCAGCAGCCACGCCTTGGAAATTGCTGATTCCGTTAAGCCACGCTACTCATCCTGGTTTCTGTGACAACTGCTAGGTGTATCAATGATGAAGCTTGCTGTCGCGAGTTTAAGCAGGTTTCACGTTGGAAACCGGAAGTCACGGAAGCTGTGATCCTTTTCGACCGGTTCGCGATGTAGGCAGGGTGACCTGCTACTATGCAAGGACGGTGGTAAGGTGGACAAGTGGAATCCACTCCTACCGAGTGTCAAGGTGCGCAGGCTATCCGGAACTTCATAGCTCTGATTAAAGCCACGGCCGAAAGTCAGGGTCTGCAGGAATTCCAACAGCTGAACACCTTCCAAGCTCTGGTTGAAGTCACGACCGAAAGTCAAGTTCTGAAGATATTTCGGCAGCTGGACACCTTCTAAGCTCTGGTTGAAGTCGCGGCCGAAAGTCAAGTTCTGCAGATATTTCGGCAGCTGAACACCTGCTAAGCTCTGGTTGAAACCGCGGCCGAAAGTCAAGTTCATCAGACTGTTCGGCAGTTGGGCACTTGCCAAGCTCTGGTTGAAGTCGCGGCCGAAGGTCAAGGTCTGCAAACTGTTCGGAAACTGAACACCTACCAAGCTCTGGTTGAAGTCCTCGCCGAAGGTCAAGGTCTGCAGACTGCTTGGCAGTTGGACACCTACCAAGCTCTGATTGAATTTTTCACCACAGGTCAAGGTCTGTAAACTGTTCGGAAACTGCACCCCTACCAAGCTTTCGCGATTGAAGTCTCTGCCTTTTGCGAGTTCCTCCTCCAGCGTCACATCTCGATGAATTTCGCCGCGTCGCCGGCGACGGGGGTCAGCTAAGTTGACTTCAGTATCCAGGTCCCATTCTATACCGAATGCTAAGGCTTGCAAGCCCTTCGGCAGCTGCACGTCCACCAAGCTCAACTTGGCGCCAGTGGTCAAGGTCTGCAAGCTGGCTGGCAGGACACCTTCCAGGCTCCGGTCAAAGCGGAAACCAAAGGACAAGGTGCGCAGGCTGTCCGGCAGCTGCACGCCTGCTAAGCATTGATTAAACATGTAGCCGAAGATCAAGGTCTGCAGACTCTTCGGCAACTGGACGCCTGCCAAGCTCTGGTCGAAGTCTCTACCAAAAGCTAAAGTCCGCAAACTGTGTGGAAACTGGACACCTAGCAAGCTCTGGTTGAAGTCCTCGCCGAAAGTCAAGGTCTGCAGATTGTTCGGCAACTGGACACTTTGCAAGCTCTGGTTGAAATTCGAGCCGAAGGTCAGGGTCTGCAGACTGTTCGGCAGCTGGACGCCTACCAAGCTCTGGTTGAACTTCCTGCCGAAGATCAAGGTCTGCAGACTCTTCGGAAACTGAACCTTTTGCAACCTCAGATTGAAGTTCTCGCTAATTGTCAAGGCCTGCAAGCTGTTCGGAAACGGGACGTGTTGAAGGCTCTGATTGAACCTCGTGCCGAAGGTCAGGGTCTGCAGACTGTTCGGAAACTGAACAAATTCCAAGCTCTGATTGAAATCCCAGCCGAAGGTCAAGTTCTGCAGACTGTTCGGAAATTGGACACCTTCCGAGACTCCTTCCAAGCTTCGGTTGAAGTCACGGCCGAAAGTCAAGGTCTGCAGACTGCTCGGCAGTTGGACACCTACCAAGCTCTGGTTGAAGTGGCGACCGAAAACCAAGGTCTGCAGAGTGTTCGGAAATTGGATGCCTTCCAAGCTCCGGTTGAAGTTGTCGTCGAAGGTCAAGGTCTGCAGACTGCTCGGCAAGTGGACACCTTGCCAGCTTTCGAACTCCTTGAACTGCGAGCCGACAGTCAGGGTATACCGCTCAAACTTCCATCATTATGGGTGAGCCCCACAATGGCCTTGAGGGCATTAACATCTTTCGGGGTCAAGTGATGTCCAGCTTGGGCTCGCCGCCAGCTGATTGTGGCGGGACCCACCCCAATTGCCTGAACCAAAAAAGAGACCTCTCGGTCATCTACTTGCTGCAACAGCAGGCTGGACTCATCGAACACGTCGCCACCTGCAATCAGCACAAGGCGTCCACTTGATGGGCCAACTTTGTTTTCGATTCTTTCAGCTACATCCAGCACCGTCTCTGTAGAGTCAACGTAGAGCTCAACTGCTGAGCCCTCCAAACTACCAATGCTCAACTGCCGGCCAGCGCTTCCCGAAAGACTCGACTCAACCAAACTGGCTCTCCGAGCCAGACGCTGATTGACGAAGATAATCCACGTTGCACCCTCCGAGCTGGGGCTAGCCATCTGCTCCGGACCGACGCACTTCTGAACAACAAATTGCGCTTCCTGCTGAGCCGCCATCTGCTGAAGGGCATCTGTACCTCTCTTGCTGATGGCATTGCACTTGATGCTCAGCCGCTGCAAATGTCCGCAATCGTTCTTCGACAAAGCTACAGCAAAGGCAATGGCATCCTCGTCCCGCAGATGCTCACAATTCATCTGAATGTCACACGCACCAGACCTCACTACTGCCGCTGCTAGGCTGCAGCGAACCTTAAGGCTCGCGGCAGGGATGACCACCTCCTTGAGGTTTCTGTAGAAAGGCATCGCTGCGCACAGCGTTTTGATCTTTACTGCGTCCAGATCCTGAATGAGCAAGCGCTCTGTGGAGGACGCCTTCTGCTCGAAGACCTGGAGCGGGCAAAACGAAAACCTGTGGTTTTTTTCAATAGCTGGGTACATACAGATACGCTAGTTTTGGAAAGCTTGGCCAGCTACGAGCGGTACCGCAGCCCACATCTTCGCCCAAGCACTTAGCGGCTCGACCCAGGGCCCAACAATTTATCAGCCACACTCGATATCTCCTTAGAACAGCGGATTTCCCCAAGAACGACGCAACATGAGCAAGCGCACCTCATTGTAAGTTGTTTCACGATATTCGCAACGAAACCCATCATCAAAACAACACCCCAGACACGTGAAACAACCTAGAACCCTGGATTTCAGCTTGGCGCCGAAGATGACGCAACATGAGCAATGGTGGGCAATGGCTGCCAAAAGCGATTATCACAGTACATACATCATTCTTTCGATTACCTTTTGCGCAACTCGTCACCCACTGCCAAAGGCCGGCATGTTGGGGGCTGAATACAAAGCTCACCAAACCTACCCTGCTAGAGCTGGGACTTGATTTGGGTCACCGGGCTGCACAATCGTACAACAAGTATTCGCGAATGATGGTCTTAAAACATTATCCCTGTACCAGTGATGGAGGACATTCTGAGGACTGGCGAGCCTGTCCTTTCATGATTTGATTTTAGTAGATGACTGAGAAATTTTTAGCTCCCGCCTTCTCTTGAAGCTGGACCACTGCATCTAAATCACTCCGATGAGTAAACTGGAGCTGGCTTATCGCTTTTTTGAAGATCTGCGGAGGGCGTGGCACCGAAGCTCCCTTCACCGAAGCTCTCAGGCGTGCCCATTCCATCTCTGCCTGGCACCAGCCCCTCACGTCGTAGGGCGTAACATTCAACTTCAAGTCCTGGATGGGTACGGCCTTGACCGTGTCTTTTCCTTCGCAATACACCGGGATGGCACCCTTCCGACTGCCTTTCAGGCTCTCCGGTGTGAGATCTTCCAATAGGTGCACTTCTACCGCCTCGTGGGCATAGAGGATATGCATGTCATGGAGAGCACGCTGAAAAAGCTGGTCCTGCGCGGTGCTGCGTTTGTACTGATGCAAAGAGATGTAATCAAAAAAGACCCATACCAAGCCATCACACAGTCGGACACGAAATGCATCCACAATGGCTTCCAGCTGAAACCTCGGCATCCGGGGAGGGTTTAATTACGTGTTATGGCCAGCTATTTTTGAGGCCTGCTATGTCCAATATAGGGCCCCCCAGAATTAGAATAGGGTTTGGGTCTATATTATTATACTATAACAATAATAAGGACCCCCCCAAAAATAGTATAGGTAATTCTTTGGGCTTCTAGATTACATGCGCAGGACTGCACAGCGCTCCCCGGGCCTCCATGGGTCTGGATGCTCCATGCTCTCCCAAGCGTGGGAGATGGAGACCAAGTTTACCGTCACCCTTCGCGGGGGCCACGGGAAATTGATCATGGTGGAGATATGGCCTGTCCTCTCGTCAATCTCCAGTCTAGCTAGTTCACTGGCATCCACCAGCGCAGTTTGTCCACACCTGGTGGTCTCTGTCTCAGCTTCCTGTCGCCGGGGAAAGACCCTCTCTGCCTTTTGCAGCTCGACGAGGTACTCCAGGCGAACCAAACGGATCTCCGCATCTTGGAGGAAGCGAACGAGGCTCTGCGAATCCTCCAAGTCGTAACTCTGCATCGTGCTCCTTCCATCTCCTCCCAGCTGGTCTTGTGCCGAGCCGGCTGGCACCACGAAACTAAACCCTAAACCCTGGTTGAAAGTCCAAATGTATGAACCGCCACGGCACCCTTGGACGTTGGACACGCCTCCCTCCTGATCGCGGGTTTTAGGGCCTAGGGGTTTAGGGTTAGTTCCTGCTGCGTAGGCTTTGGCCCCAGATTTGCAGATCTGGTTCCTGATTCGACCAGTTTGGTACTGATTTTCCGACGTTGGTCCGTAATTGTGATCCCTATTCGACTGCCCTCTGGTCCCTGGTTCGGCAGTTGGGGTAGAGCGGGCAAGAAATTAGTCCCACAAGGAAGGTGGACAGAATTCCAGACTTCCACGTACGTGAAGGAGACTATTTGGATAACGGAGATTACTTAATTTAGTTTCAACAATCCAAGAGAACGAAGACAACAAGTTTGCCGCATTTCCTTTGGTTTGTTAGACAAGGGAACTCAATGCACCCAAAACCCTGTCTAACCATGAGTTGCCATTTCGGCCCTATGCTGTTCATATTCCCTTGAACTGCATCCTATAAACAACTACAGGACGCACTCGCCTCATCTGCCTCCTCTTGGTGTTGGGTCTCTGGCCGCCTGGTTGGCAGGAAGGAAGGGCATGCCGGGTACCAAGCCTGCAGCTTTGCTTTTCGAAGTTGCTTTTCACGGAGTGTTTGGGCTTTGACTCGAAATGAATTTCCTGCGTTTGTCGCTGGATGTCTCCATGGCAAGCATATGAGGAAATCAGTACTTGTTTCTGAAAGCATGGCAACGGGTACTAGACGGAAATTGGGAAAATCAATTTCGAAGACCGAAGCCGGAAGAAGCCGCAAACCAAGACTTTGTTGCGAAACTTATCCTTCAAACATTCGCTGAGCTGAGACTGGATCTGCAGTCATGCCGCCAGGCGGCCAGGGGAAACGGATACTTACAGATACACTCTGCAAGCCTGAACCCTAAACTCCAAACCTTTAACCTTAAAGCCCAAAGCCAAAACCCACACCTTGAAAACCACACCCAAAACTCCTAAACCCTTAAAAACCAAACCCCTAAACAATAAACCCTTAGAAACCCAAGCCAAAACCCTGAACCCTGAATCCTTATCTCGAAGCCCCCCAAACCCGGATCCCCCGAATCCCAAACTCGAAACCTTAACCTCCAAGACCAGCGAATGTAGGGGCCTTAATCCTTAGGAATAGAGTTTGGGGGCCCATGCCACTATACTTTAAAAAGAGGGCCCATTCTACTATACTTAAATAAAAGAAGGAAACCACCCAAAATAGTAAGTAGTGGTACTTTTGTAGGCCCCCTTTCTTTGGGCACAGGACAGCTTCGCCACGCGCTGGCGTCTTTCCTCGATCTCCTGGGCATCTGCCGTCGGCGCCCCAAATCTCTCAGGGGCACTACCGGGGATTTAACAGATTCGAGTTTAGGGTTTAGGGTTTAGGGGGTTCTTGTTATATAGCATGCGACTTGAGCGCAAAGGGCAGTAGAATTAAAGAGTGCTTGACTACAAGGGGGAGTATGAAGGGTTCCAATAGGACAGTGGTCCGAAATTGTTGCGGCCTTTATTTTGTACTAAACTTGCGATGTCACTGTCAGGCAGGTGGGGCACCGTCATTCAGGGGAGGCTTTGAAATTCCGTCGGCGGCGATGAACAAACAGCCTCAAAAGTGGCGGGGAATGTCCGCAACTTCATGCATCTCAAGCCCTCTGACCAGTAACTTGGACGCAGCTTTGGGTCTCGCCCTCAACTAGAGCCATCCCGGTAAGGCCTAAGACACACAAATTACGAAATCCTTTCCAGCCATAAAATGTCGCACGACTTCGGGGTGTTGGCAAAGGCCTGAAATCTCCCGCATTCCGAGACCCAGCTGCCTTCTGCTTCAGTGTCAGCTTGGCTTCCTCCGTGTTGCGGTTGAGCGCCTGCTTTACGAAATCAGGCGCTGCACCCCAACGGAATGGAGTGGGTCCGCATAACTAGCAATAGCTACCATGACCTCGTAGTTACTTTCAAACTGCGTACAGCATCGCAACGATGCCCCTATATTACTACAGCCGTGAACGCCCGGAAACATAGACTTGGAGCCAGGTTCTGGTGCTTCCGAGTTAGGTTTCGGAGTGCCGCTCGGCCGAAGGAACAAGGTCTTCTGGAACATTCTACTGGCTGCCTGTTCAAGCTGGGCTAAAACCTGCACAAGTTTCGGAAACCTCAGGAACGCTAATACAGGGGCCTTGGTAATTAGAATGGGGTTTTGGGGGCCATTATACTATAATTCTAATTAGGAACCCCAAAACTAGTATAGGGAATTATTTAGGCCCCTACATTACTGTAGCTCCTAGAAATAGCACGATCTTTATCATGGGACGACCCTGACAGCTCCTCGGCCGTATTGCAAAAACAGACAAGGTCCGTACATAGTAGGACCTTTGCTGTGTAGACGGATTCTCAAAGAGTAGGATCCTTACTAGAAAAATCTCAACCCCAGTTCTTCAGAAAACCCGATTTAGGGTTTAGAGGGCCAGGGCTTACAAGGTTTAGGGACCCAGAGACAGCTGCGAAAACTCTGCTGGAAAGCCCCATAAATCCTCAACCTGTGATCCCAGGGCCTTAGAAACCTCCACGACGAGACACTAAACCTGGGGGACACAAGCTTAGGGTTTAGGGTTCGGGGTTTGGGGTTCAGGGGTTTAGAGCTCTTCTCGAGAAATACGATGATTCAATACCCGGGGGCCTTGAATGAAAGGGTCTGGGGCCTTCCCAAGGAACCCTAAACCGCTGAATCCCAAAACTCCTAGACTCGACACCCTAGCAACACCGACCCCCCCCCGAAAAAGAGAGAGATGGAAAGTCCCAATCCTTACAACTAAACGGCTACATGGGCAGATCTCTAACTTGGGGTCACGTTGAGGTCCCCAACATAGTGCGGCGCCCTTATGAAATTTTCCCTGAAAGGGACCCTAATTTGGAGAACCACCCATATAGAACCCTTATAGTCCCCCTTATAGAAACCCTCTAGAAGCCCTTGTAGAGCCCTTAAAGAGGGATCGAGTTGCCTCGAGGGGTTTAAGGGTCTAGGCCTTCTCTTCAAAGCTGAATGCAGGGCTCTGGGGCTTTAGGGGTTTAGGGTTTCAGGGTTCAGGGTTTTTAGGGTTTGGGGGTTTAGGGGCGGAGTGCTGAGGATTTGCGATGGAAGGTTGGCAGTGCTCCAGGTTGAAAAGTTCAGCGTTCTCGGGTGTACGGTTTGGGGGTTTGACCATTTGAGGGCTTGGGATTTCTTGCCGGGCAATCCCCGAGAACCCCAACATGGGGGGCTCCCAAAATAAGGTACCCCTGCTTTCTCCGGAAAAACTCCCATATATCTCGCTATAAGAAGGATCCCGTCCTTCAACCAATCCTCAGGGGCGCTGAGTTCGCGGATAAAAATGCTTTGTAGCTTACCTGCCCCGTATCCTGGGAGCTCAAAGGCTGCGGTCACCGTAGTGCAGGGGCCTTGAAAAATTAGAGTAGGGCTCTTTGGGAGATATTAGCCTATAGCTATAATAAGGAGCCCGCAGAATAATATTGGTAATTTATTTAGGCTTCCATATTCGCCTTTCGGAGTACATAGGGACCATCGTACCCCCAGCAAAACGGGTAAAGCCTACCTGTCGGATACTGTTTAGGTAGGGCTGTTTAGAGGGCCCTGGACCTGGCCGAAACCCTAAACCCTAAGCCTTGTGATCGATGAGGTGGCACGGCTTGCACTGGGCTCTAAATGATCTCTTCAAGATGCTAGGAGCATGTTCTCCGGCAATCTCGGGACGATATTGCGGAATCTAGAGTCTCTTGCAGTTAGCTGCAAGGCAAGTAGTTGTTGCCCGAACTAGTCATGTGCTTGGACGGAAAACCTGAAATGTTAGAGCTGTTCCGCCTCAGGGCTCATGGATGTTCAACAGGACAAGGGAATGCACGAGCCCGCATGTAGGTTGTAGTAACAGTGTAGTAGGTTGTAGTAGCTGTATAGTATGTTATAGTTCTCGCTCGATGGACCACAACCCGCATCGACTCGGAACCAACCACAATTCTCCCAGGGAGACCCCCAAACTCCAAACCTCACGTCCCAGATTTCGGATGCAAGAAAACCATGGAAAGGGTTCAGGGTTTTAAGTTTTTGGGTTTAGGGAAATTCCCGCACCAAAGCTTTGAGGTTGCCTGATATGCCGGATCAAGCACTGGTCCAAGCAGGCTTGAACATCGTTGCACCTGCGCGGGGGATGACCGCGGGATGTATGAAGAAGTCGTACGTACATTTTTTTGCGAATTTCGTGTTTATATATATATATATGTCCAACATATATCAGAATAAAGGTATATGCATATATATATATACACATATCTATGTCTAGGATCTGAGCAACCTCATCGGACGCTACCTGCTTCACGTCTTGGGACCGCGAGCCCGGTAAAGAAGTCCCCACTGCTGGCATCTTCATCTTTTCAAAGGGTAGGGTTTAGGGTTTAGGGTTTAAACGTGGGCTCGAAAATAAAAGAAAGCACGGTTCATGATTCCATGGACCAAAGCATCTACGGAGAAGAGATAGTTCCATCTTCAACTTAGGCTGCCTCGTCTGCCATTATTTTTGCTAGTTTTACTTATGGGTAGCTCTCTAAATCCGGATCAGTTTGAACGGACCCTCAAACGGACCCTGGCTTGGAGAACTACCCAAATAGAACGAATATAGTACGCTTTCTTGAAACCCTGCAGAAACCCTTATAGATCCCTTTAAGGAGCCCTTTAAAAAGAACGCTAATTTTTTGGAGAACTACACCCATGGGATGGTTTTTAGTGCTTACTAGCAGGGACCCGGTCCTCGCCTCGGTGAAGACGTCTGCTCTTCCTCGAAAGCCTCTGGCAGTCACAACTTGCACTAATGTAGGGGCCTAAATAATTACCTATACTATTTTGGGGGTTCCTTGGTATTATATTTATA